GTTAGTTAGTTACGTACAGACGTTCAATACGTACAGTTATTGTCCGATATGTTCTATAAATAACGGAAAGTGTTGCGGTTACTTTTAACTAAGGTAGATTAATAAAAAACTTTTAACAGTACTCAAAAAGAAGTTTATTTTTTATACCACCATTTTATTAAATAATTTGTATTTTATATTTATATATTTGTTTGTATCGCGCTCTTATGTTCATTCTTCACGAAAATTCTGTCTATTTTAAATAATATTTTAATACAACGCTTAATTTATATTAATTTATAATCGATAGCAAATTGATCTTAAATACATAGTAGTTTACGCGAGTAGTACACATTTCAATAAAACACTTTAACGGTTGAAAACGCGATATATAATAGTTAAACTTGGCCGTGGTCACAGGGAGACGGCTGCTGCAAAGCACCCGAAACGTCGGGCCGTTTTGAAATCATTTCCAAATAAGGGAATATACATATATCGCGTTTTAAACCGTTAAAGTGTTTAATTAAAAAAAAATCTTATGTTTGTCATACTAAATATTAACAGGACATTATGTTACGTTTAATACTGTGTTTTGTTAGATAATATAATTAGTGTTGCATACCATTGACCTTAATTTACTTATGAAGTCTGTAATTTGCCATCCAAATTGTCTGTTGGTTCGACGTAGGTCGCGGTCTTGATCCCTAGATGGCTGTTTAATTATTTCATTCAATATTGCAGTGTTAAAACCGTCAAAATTTTGGTTCATCTAATGATGGAGCATTCAAAGCTTAGAAGTTCTTATTAGTTGGAAAAATAATTATATTTGTTTAACCTTTTGTATGTAGATTGTGGATGTATTAACTTGTTAATAAAAAAAACGAACGTAATAACATGTTGATACCTTGACGATCTCCGAAGAAGGAAAAAAATGTCCTTTAATATTTCACATAGTAGTATTTTTCAATTGTTTTATTTGATTTTTTTAGAGCTACAGGTCGAGTATGTAATTCTCCATCATTGTATGATTTAAAATTACTTTGTTGCTTGGTTAGGCGTGAGATGGACAAGCAAACGCGCTTTCGGAATTTATATTAGCATGCACTGTGATCGTAGCAAAAAGCACATCAACATTAAAAAACAATAATCTAGATAAGGATCAGAACGTTATGTATGCATAAACAGTGTACGCGAAGTGTTCCTAAAACGTTTTTAAATTATACTATTTACTATAATTACACACTTTCTCTAAAATATGTTACCACTCGTTCTGATTAGGCATAAACACATATTTATGTAATCTAGTAATGTAACAGTGTATTGATAAAATAACGTAATATAGTTCAATTGCATTCGGCTCTTAGAAATATTGCACATTATAATTAACGAAACAAATGTTGCCAATGTTAATGAAAAAGATAGTATCGGAAATATTTTATCGGTGAAGTAGAACGTGTTCGGTCGGGCTTGCGTTATCGATAGTGTCAAGTAAACAAATCACCTGTTACGGTCATTGTGATGACACCAATAAAATAAGAGGTTTTAACATACTTTCAACACATATTAAATCCATTGTATATTTATTATGTATACATCATCTCTAGTCCTCTATAAATCCCACGGTTTGGACTCGTGATTCCTTTATAAGAGCCTAACACTGCCCCGGCTAAGTGCATGTTGCATTTTTCCTAATTTATTTACTGTCAGCCTTTTTTGGATTTCGGGTCACGACTGGGGATCTTTCGATTTCACGATCATAGGTTGGGTGTACATACGGCTCTCGGTATATTAGTTGAATATAATTGTAAAATTCAACCGAAACATGGTGTCTTGGTTTAAATTCATATACATATAAATATTGCTAGTTCACGATTTACAATATGAACTCTTATTTAATATTTTCTACTTATGATAACTATATATATTAATACATATCATAAATATAGAAGATGAACTCCTATCGACATTCTATTCTCAATAAAAATCAAAATTATAACTTCTACTATCATCTGACGCTGATATATTCTGAACTTATACAAGGATATTATGTTCGGAGTGAAAGAGGTAAACGTTTCCAAAACATAAAACAACTTGGTAAACATCTCGGCAAGGGTAACGAACTAAATGAATCCATTACACAGCAAGTTTAAGTCATCGGGGTTATTTTTAAGGTTAACTTGAAAATATTAACATGTCAGCAAGACTGTTTGTAATTATTTGTTTGTAGCTTCAAAAGATGGCGCATAAGGTATTCTAAGTATTAAACAGTTAAGAAAATACTTATACGTGATTAACGGAATCTGTAGATACAAAAAATAATAATCTGTCAATGGCCTATTTGGATGAGGCGCTAAGAATTCAGGATATACGGAAGAGGTTTGAGGTCACAGCAAGTTTGTGCAATAATATTAAGGCAATAAATTACAAAGAAGCTTTCAGTTTTTACGTAATTTTAATAACAATGTGAATTCCTTGGCCAGCTGTTAACAAATTCTGATAAATCATGTAATCGAAGTTCATTTTTATGGTGCTTATCTGAGGTGAAAATTGACGGCAATCAATTTTATGTGACAGGTGATGCCCGATTGACCCGGGGCCATAAAATTAAGTATGGAAATAAAAGGGTTCATTACTTATTTCACACACGGAGATTTTTTTAACAGTCTAATTAATTTTTGTGCAATAATTGCGATTTTAACCTTAGTAAGACATTAATTTAGGGATTTAATCATAGTAGGTACTTATCTCTAACAGGAAAGATATTAAACGTTACTTTTAAATATTCATTATTGTCATTTTCATGTTATGTAACATAGTTATCCTTGACATATATATAAAACATATTCTGTATTTTAAATAACTCTATTGTTTAGGGCAAGCAAACAATAAATATATTAAATTTTAAGTTATTTTGGCTTCCATTTGTCTAACTTGTCGTGGTTGTGCCTTATCAAAAATTTTAGTAGCAATTTTAATATGCTTGAAGCCCTAATGTAGTAAACGCTTTAATCTGCATAATTTCATCACACGTGAAGAAATAACACCATTCCTCGGAAGTGAGTGGTTCCGTTCCATAACGACAACTGAACAATGCTGTCGAAAAAATTGACTAGAGCTGTGAGCATTACCTTGGCTTCCATTGTTGCTTACCGGTTAGAGCAATTAGGCAACTTTAGGAATGAATGAACCTTGGATAGTGAAAACTTTGATATGCGTAATTTGTTAACTGCTTTGCATTGTTTTATGTACGTTTTATTGTAACGAGATAATTGTTGCAACAATTTACATTCAATAGCTATATTTTATACTTCTTCATTTATTTTAGAGTTTAACTACTTGACTATGTCAGTGGTTAAGCGTCTAGGTGGTGCGTTTAATGCAAGAGGCTTAAATCCTGAGGATCAAACCTCTATATTTAGTTTAGTTAATAGCTGTAGTTGGATCACAGAAAGTGTCATATGTAATCAAATAAATAATTTGGAATTGTATTCGTATGTATAATACATTGCCAGTTGACGTTTCAAATTTATCAATAAATACATTTAAAAAAGTTATAAAATTTTGATTGTCTCAAAAGGCGTATTATTGTCTGAACGATTTCTTTAATGACAAGACCGCCTGGCAGTAATATGAATTGCTCCTTAGGTTAATAAATTCACAATGTATAAGTTTATAAGACATGTTAAAAAAAGCAGGACTGAGTTTCTTGGGTGTTCTTCTCTGTTATGTTGCTCTTTTGAACACTCTGTAGAATCACGACGAACAGACCGGCAAACAAAAATAATTTCACGAATCTTAATAATTTTTAAAATTTTAAAGAGAATTTATTTTTCTTTATTTTAATATGTAACAAATCGATCAGTGAAACAAGCAAAGGTCCTCACAGTTTTTTTCAGTGTTGTGTGATAGAGTTTTTTATGTGAAATAGATAAAATGTTTGTAATGTACTTAACATTTTAATTCTTAGATAGCAAATGTTATATAATGGTCACTCTTCGTTAAAATATTGTAGAGGCGTATTTTTTAATAATTTTGAAACAAAAATTATGGTATTACTTATTTGGCAAATATTAGGAACACAGTAGCCATTTAGGGCTTTAAGTTTAAACAAATCGTACCATGTTACAACTGCAAAATTTATAAAATATTATTTCGTAGTTTCATATTACCACTACTTTCTGTGCGTGGTTTCGCTTGCAGCATTATACATTTTTGGTGTAAGTATTCCATCGTATTGAGTTCTTAAAGTTTTTTTCTAGTTGTAATTAATATTGTCTGGCATATGCATAGTGTTTTATCCAGTATCACACTTAGAGTTTATTATAAGACCTTTACAAATCCTAATTATAACGATGACTTGTTTGCTATATCTCAAAAAGTTTGGGTATTACAGGATAAGCAGTTGTTACTAGAAAGGTATGCCAAATGTGTACTACAAAATATTAGTCTATCATGTACCGCGTTATAATGTCAGTGTGTTTTCCTACAAAGAAACGCCGACGTTAGAATTTTAATCGAACTTTAACCAGTGTTAATTCCATTTGCTGTGTCGTGTCCTAACAGTAGGTCATTGTCATTGGCGATCGCTCCACGACAGATTTCGTTCGCGTGAAAATTAACCTCAGTTCATCGCTGAAGTAATTCTTGCCAATTCAACCCTTGCAACATTTTTTTGTGCAATGCAATTATTTTTAATTCGCAATGTTTACTTTGTTTAAGCTACGAAGGGCGATTTAGAGTAGGTCTGCGTGTCTGTTTTTCTTAGTCAGTATTAAATTTTAATTTATTCGATTGTCTATCAATAAGTGAATTAACTGAAATCTAGTAATTGTTCTACTGTTTTCTAACGTTTTAAAAATACATATTTGATATTCTCTTATTCGTTTTAATTTTAATTGTAGGTACTCTATTATGCATATATTAATAGTTTGTTGTTTTTCATTCACAGTAATTAAATGTTTCTATAGATTGCTTATGAATGGTAATTAAATTATTCTGGTATTTTTCGCATGGATGCTTACCATCGATCCTCTCGCTCTTCTGCACAGGAACAGCTGTGATGAAGGAAATCAGCAGAAACGCGGAAACAATCCGGGCACTCGCACTCATTTTGGCTCGATAAAATTAAACGGACGCAACTATAAACCGCGTGTGGCCGGTTACATTTGCGTCGGGAGCAACGTTCAGCAACGGTGTCTTGTCAACAACTGGTGGTGAGGCAAGCATGCGGCGACTTTCTATCAGCTGGTTGTATGCGGACGCAATATTGCACCGTGGTAAGCGGCGGACGTACGGTTCATACTCGATATATTTTGCTGCGCAGGGGGCAATTAATTTTTAGTGATACAGAGGTGACATAATTTTGTCGCTTGTGAACTATTAACTACGTAGTCAAGTTAAGTTTATTTTTATATTTTTTAAAGAAATGCCAACGGAGGGGCAATTTGCAATTTGGTGAAAAGTATACTCACCCCCATAATTGACCCCACAAGGAGGAAGCGGAAATGTGAAAATTAAGCTCTTAGAATATATTTTACTTTATAAATGTAAAACTTAAATGTTTAGGTTTAGTATGATTGTTACTATTGATAACTAAATTGTCCCTTTTTGAATCTCTCTAAATCTAATACTCTTTTTATCTTTTAATATATTTATTTTCAAAATACACCAACGTAGTAACTGTACCATCGGATATTTCCTTTGTTCCTTATAGCGGGCAGATCGTTATAAGGTTTATACGTGAAAGAAAACATAAAAGCCAGGTCAATATTGTACTTACTCGTAATTAAATATTTTAATAAGGAACTCCTTATTTGTATTATTATTGAGATTCCTTAGGATCAACATTTCTCTTTTTTGACGTGATCTAAGTATTGAAAGGGACGTCATACTGACACTTTGCCTTCAAAAGTGATCAGGATTTGATTTTTATAATATTTAATTTTTCTGTTCTATTCTAAAAACCACTAGACCAATTCTAGTGAAATATTATAAATTACCATTTTATATTTAATTTTAAAGCCAACAATTATATTCGTATTCGCCCCTAGCATAGATATTGAAAAAAAGAGTACAAAAGTGAGATTTATTATGTAATTTATTCAACAGTATGTGTCAAAATAGTTTTCATTAACAATAATATTCTGTGTTTCTGTAAACTGTATTTGGTTCCTAGTTAATGGAGCGTGCTTTAAACGTTACTAACCCAATTGTCATGGTTTATTGATTCATAAATATTCCAAGTTTAGCTATTCGTCAATAAGAAAAAAAATGACATCTTAATAAAAGTACACTACAAAATTTAAAGCTAAAATCGGCTGTTTAAATCTTATAACTTTTATAAAGTTATGTATAACCTGTAATGATAGCTCACATAATTTTGCATTACATTATAAATTTTTAAATCAAGTTCAGTTAATATAAATAAAATTTAAAAGATTAAGACCTTGTTGAAACTGAATGAAATTGATTTTTTTTCTTTTGTTGAATTGCTAAAATATTTGTCGTTGGCATTATCCTGCCATCTCTGAAAAAAATGTGTACAACTATAAAAACGAAACAATATATGCTTTTACTACTCAACACGAGATGACCCTAGTGCAATTAATTTATGCGCTATCTATCGACGGATGTTAGCATTATTTCAATATACATGTCTTCCATTTTTATAATACTTTTTATTTTCTATATAGATGTCGCTACTAGAGTCATTTACGTTGGTATTACTCATGTTTTATTTTATAAAGTACATAATTTTAATACAACCAAGATAAATCTTTTTTAATATAGAGGGCTGAATATGGCTTATTTAAGCATAAATTATATCAATCTAATAAAAAATAATTAGAAGTTGTCCAAACGAACCGGTTTTTACTGGAATAATAGGTAACGCGAAGGAAACTGTTACTGTAAAAATATAATTTATATATCTCTTTGTCTCTTATGGGATTGAATTTCCAGCTAAAATTATTTTATACAATTTTTTTTATATACGTTATTTTATTTTGCCTTAATTATTAATACTATAATTGATTTTCATTACTCTGGATCCTATACAAAAGATAATAAAACAACAAAGTTATCAGCATTTGTTAATTTATTTCATGTCATTCAATTTAAAACAATAATACCAAAAATAAAATTATTATTATCATGTAAACGATACTATTATTTAATTTACAATAACGTGGCTCATGGTATCAGTTCATTAAGAATACAGCACATATTTAATTTAAATTAACATAAATAAGCACCTTAACTTATATACACTAAAAGTCTTTTCTAAAAAGGCACTTTGCCATCTAGTAATACTAGTGAGATTAGGAAAACTCGAATACATTCTGCGAAAACAGCTCACACCAACACTGGCGACATTATGGAAATCCTAAATAAATAAGAACGTTTTCGCAAAGGCAAAGAATAGTACACAGGAAAGGAACTTACTGATACTTAACTACTAGTTCAATAAATTAAAATTCCTATCTAGAGAATACTAAATATCACAGAGCGAGTACCCATAACTTAATCAACAAAATGTTTCGTCGAGCAACTCGGTAAAACGTCAGAGAGCGTACGCTTAATATCTAAGGCTTTGGTCAGATATAAACGCCATGGGATGCGTACAGCTTACGCTTTACGTCGCGGCAAGATGCATTAGATGTATTAGATCCTATTGGTCAGGATGTACCATATTTCATTCTTACATATATACATCTTACTCACGTCAATAATATAATGCTTTTTTAACGGTCTACAATAATTCCTAAACGTTTGTATGCTGTGTGTGAGCTAGACAACAACAGTCTATTTTTATAACAGTAAGCGATATATCGTCGCCATACGTCATCAACGGCGTTTATAGGTGACAACAGCCTAACAATAAATAAGTACAAGTCAATACTTCGTAATAAATACAATAAGGCTATCCTCAACTCGAAGTCATTTTATTTCTGAGCCGCTTATTGCCTCTCTTTTCTAGCAACTTCGCGTGGAAGGCGCCGCATTTCTTGTCACTTTTCTTGCTTAACGGACATCTGAATTCCGAGTACCAATTGTTAAGTAAATTCCCGTACCCCCTAAACGCAATGTAATCGTTTTTGAGACATTGCGTCGCGTCGACTTTCATCTCCAAAGTGTCCAGTTTCATTTTGTTTCTGTCGAAGGGCGGAACTGGCATGTTCACGGCGATCATGTTTTCCGTTATTTCAGCGATGGTGCTACGAAGTCTGTTTATAGTGTCGTCGAGTAGTTTTTCCCGTATCACAACATAGTTGTTGAACGGGTCGTCGGATAAGTCCAGCTGGACGTTTCTTAGTCTTTTGAAGATTACTTCGTATTCTTTGAGGGTTTTGTATAGCTTCGGCATCAGATAGGTGAACTGTAACAAAAGAAAGGGATATTAAATACTTGTGCCTTGTATATCTTATATATATACTGTGTCTGTTACCCTGAAGTTATTTACAGACAAGTAAGTACAGGCAGTTTTTGTGCGTTTTATCCGACCGAAGTCATTTTAAATTCTCTCTGAAGTTTACGCGAGTTGTTCACATTTAAATATTATAACGGGGAAACTGGGACCACGGATGCTGCTGACAAAGTCTACTAGTACTAATATATACATCGCGTTTTAAAGCGTTAAATAAATAATTTTAAACCGTTTTATTTGAACGAAGTAAATTTCCTATTTTTCTTAGTATTGTATACATAGGTATATAACGGGCTGCATTTAAGACGTTTAGCGGGATTCAGAATTGTGTAGTTAGAAAATTAATTATATGTAATGCAATAATATTGCAAATGAATTTATGATCTTATATTGTTAATATGTGCGTCTCTATAAAGCCCTTTATCGTGAATATTTAACGACGCAACTAATCGGTGTCGAGGCCTCATGATCCAGTGTCTTGATCCGTGTAACTATTGGAATGCCACTATTCAGTCACAAACATTATGCCGACGCGACATAAGTGGTTTTTGTGTAAATAAAAATTGTCGGCCCGATTATACCTTACAATGGCACGCCTGTTCTTAATTATTGTTTATTGATGCATTATAATTGCGTGTTAATTTTATTTAAGCCCTTCATAATAATGATATAAAGTTAAGCTTATATAGCGCGATATTTGATGTTGAATAACATAAGTTGTTATTTATAACGTTTTTTTAAATAAAAAGCAAAAACTTAGTAAAGTTCTATTCTTAATTCACATTTATCTGTGTATAATTGTTGTATGACATAAGGAGAATTGTAATAATCGTTTGTTGGTTTAGGAAGGACATTCGTTCAACAATTTATAATACAGCAATTATCATATTATATCTATATTTGCAACATCACGACTATTATTCCAAATGGATTTATTCATGTCTATTGATGTTGATATTCGATTTGGTATCAAAATTGTATACCTTTACTTATTGTGGGTTTATTTATGGTGCCTTATAGATAATCTTGTTGATGTTAGGGCTGCTATTTGTAAAAAATAATGAAAATAAAGAATATTGAGTTTGATGTTTATCAAAAGATTTTGTGGTTATGACTCACTATTATTAGACAAACAGTGATTCTGTAGAGTAAAATATTGAATAAATTAATCGCCACGAGTCTATAGTTGACACTTATATCCCAGGTTTCTATACGTCGTAATTCATCGTATATAAACGTAGGACAATAAACTTAAAGCTGCCGGCAACCTTATTTTAATAGAGATATCAGGACATATTAACATAAAGCAATGGTGAAATATATCACGGAAAGTTATCACATAAAGCCGTATAAATCAGAGAATAACAGCTCTAAAGTGATATTAGTCGCAGTAGGCACGAGCCCTTACAGCGATGATGGATGTCCGACAGAACTCGGTCTGCAGGAACAACCGGTTGCAACAATTGTATTACATTGTTTTTATCATTAATCCGGAGACAACATTAGCCTTTTTACGACTTCACAATTTTCTCTAATAATAACAATGAAGTACTTATGTCAAACGATAGTTTTTAAAAGCACTGAAGTACCTACGCGAATAATTGGATTATTATTATATGTTTTTTAAATGTAATTTCCAGGTCTCCGCCAAAGTTAGTAGGTAATAAAAAAACGATTAAAATCTGTACAAGACAACATTTGTGACTTATTACGATAGAATTAGGCGTTATTTCATGGATAGATAAGAAATAACAATGGTACGAGGAAATGTCGACTGAGTAAGAATCCAGTAACTAATTATGTCACCGTCTGAAAATTGCGACGCAACTGTGAGTAACAGTTTCAGGAAAACAATCGACGTGATCTTGTGAATGAATGATATCATCTCATTCACCATTCCCGGAATCCACTCAGTGACCACCAGACGTAGCGCCACTTGTAATTAATGAGATCTCATCTGAATCAGGCGCGATCCTGAATCATAGTGTATGCTAACTATAGGCGATCGACGGTCCAGCGGTGGAAAAATATGACTAACAACCGGGATCTGGTATCCATTCCTAGCGGGCATAAGCATTATAAAAAACTATGAAAGAGCTTTTCTCTAATCTTTTAACGGCTCATAAAATCATTCAGATGAGGCAATTGTGAAGGAAGAAATCGTGGAGTGCTATAATAAAAGCGTCGAGGCGCGAGAGCAAATATGGCCGAGGATAAAGCTGAAAACCGACAATGAGCCGTATTTTCGCTTTAAAGTTGAGCTTAACCCGAGAAACGTGTCGAAGACAAACGCGTCGCGTCGCAATCGTAAGTCCACATTAGTCTCACTTGGACAAATAATGTGTTTTTAACATTTCATGTCGTTTTGTTAAATCGTAAATACTGAACAAACAGACTATGAGCTTGCGCTGACAACGAGAAAGCGTTCCGTGTTGACATCTATGGAATGTCTGCCCTTTAGTCTTCGCTCGCTGAAATACATAATCCTTATTTACGATGTAATTTACTTTACATAGGAGTGGCCACAATACGCGAATGCCGTCGCGCTACGGCTAATTATTCACAGCGCAGTCACAATACTAATATATTTAAGCTTATTTAGATGTCGAAAGATGGAAATTAATTTACAAGTTATGAATGACAAGTTACGAATGCATCCATATTGTCCGCTCAGTATTCTAACATCTCGTTTAAGAACTGTTTGATTTTTAAATTGTCAGTGGGTAAGTCATTAAGCTCCGGGCCACGCTAAGATCACTTGAATTTTAACGCTTTCCTTTGCCCGAAGTTAAATATTTAAGTTTCTTAAGTGGTCATGCATTGACGAACTGTCGAAACATACACAAGAATTATTTAATATTCATTGACATTTATATTAGGCGACTCGACACTGGCGTGTCAGAAGATTGGGTACTCGGTAGTGGACACTGGACGGAGTAAAGCAGAACGCTCTCAGTGTGTGTACAAGGACATCGGACACTGTATGCACACACGTTCATTGTCTCGTGTCACATTAACTTTTGTGTACTAATTAGTGGGTGTTCAATATGAATACGTAATAGAAAGTCGCGGTCCAGATGTATGCTTGGTAAATAATAAAAAGCTTTGAAAGATCCGTTACAATGTGTTTGTGGATATTTTAAAAGCGGAGGTGGTACGATGTATACTGTAAGAAAACTCATTTACTGCCTTTGAAGCTCGGCTTTAATTATCGTGGAATCGGCTTGCAAATAAAAGTTCTGTTGGTTTTTTCAATTAGTCGGATGCAGTCGAAACGTTTCTCTCATTCGTATGACAAACGCATGTAGAGAATGATTTAGAATTGGAAAAGTGAAGTTCAAGACAATTTTTTTTACGTATTTAATGGAATCCCTGTTCCATTATGTCAGAGGTTAAGGAAAATATGCGACGGAGAACACTCGTTATAAGTTTCTCGCGAGTTAAAAAGTATTTCTTTTAGTTCAAGTTAAATAAGTTGTTTGGCATTTAACAGATCGCGTGCGTGGCTGGTCGGTATCCATCTATGCAAATTTCCTCGAAACGTTTAACTGGCTGCTTCGCCCCTGCGCCCACTGCAGAAGCACAAAGGCTGCAGAATATACTGCCACCAGTTTAACCTGAACTTTTTCCCTCGCTCATTATGGCATTTCAACAATAAGATCTGACATTTATTTGCGGTCATTATTCATTGGATATGAAATGTGGAACTCGGCTCAATTATGTTTCGCGTTTTCACCATACACAATCATTTGCTTACTTAAAACAGTACATATAAGTAAATCAAAAATCGATAACACATTGAAAATTTATGCCTTTAACTAAATACTTATAGATGCACCAATGTGTGTAAACGTGTAAAAAATATTTTAACCGATTAGTTGTTTTTCGTTGATGGAAATAGCTCGATCGCTGTTGATTAATATAATTTTATAAACTAATTTAAAATAGTCGGCGTCGAAGATTAAGGGTTCGCACTTATTGTTATTGCTCTTAAGTACAACTTGAAGTAAATAAACGGGGTACAAAGGCCGCCACATGTAATTTGGTCCGGCGAAACCTCATTTAAGTTGCAACGGTACAACCTCCGCTGAGGCTAATATGCAAGGGGATTCTTTGTCTCAAATAAGGCAAAAATAAATTAAAAATGATGTAAAACTGCGAAGAACAAAAAGAGGGTGTGCTGGTCCGTCCCATCAGACGCGGAATGATCGGGCCACGGTAATTACAATGTCAGTGCTTTAAGCTCACCTCAAATATTTAATGCCGAACTATTATGCTAATCATAACTTGTGATTTAAAATTGATACCTGCTAATTTAGTTGGTGATTTGAATCATCGGTATAAGTATACAATATCAAAATAAAACTTAGTATTACAATTTTTTTTACTTCTCATTGTAATTTAATTTAATTGTATTACTTAAAATTAAAATTATGATATAATACTTTATCCTAGTAAAAACGGAAAGTTTTATTAAAAATTTAAATTTCATTATTCTTATTTAATTTTAATTAAGACGCAATTATATGTAAAATAGCTACAAACTGTCTTTACGAGCTTTTGTGTTTATAATATTAGTAAGACATGTGAATATAAAAAATGCAATTTACCTTTCGTTCGGTAATTGAGCTCCCAGGTTTCCTTGCAGCCCTATAGTCATGGAAGTGAATGTCCACGAAATTGACCGTCGGCAACCAACTCGGCATCCCGTCCCTGTACTCTCTCGTTTCATTCAGCGTCCTCTTGTTTTGATCGAAGAATCGTTTCGTGTTTCTTAGCTTGTGCTTTATTTTCCTAGTCGCGTTCTTATAGCTCTCTACTGTGGGATTTTTTGGTCGTCTGAACGATGATAAATCTTTGGTAAGTTGTGCCGCGGCGACTGGCTGCCGTCTTTGATGCCGTCTCCTGTGCTCAATCGAGCGAGCTTCATTAGGCGTTATGCACATGGCTAAAATTATTACTACGAATACAGCCACCAAAAGCCTTTTGGGAAAACCTGCAACAAAGGATTTTACTTTTAATATAACATAAAACAAATAGTTTAAATGCAAAGGAACTCATTATAAAGTTGAAGGTCGGAACTCTATTCAACAAGACAAGCGTCTATAAAACAAGTAGTTCGCCGGTGACGTGATAGCGTAGAGTTCCCATAGCGTTCATGTCACATAAAAAATAATAAGCTCTGTGATTTTTGTGAACGCATAGCTTATTATCTTGTGCATAAAGCGTAGGTAAATATAATCTTCATCTCTCGAGACTTTCTCACCGATCCTTAGCCTCAACGTGGGCCCGCACGTATTTTTTTCGACAAGATTCTTACTTTAATTTTTGAATACGATTAACTCGCGTAGAACTACATAATAATGGCGTATTCTTTCGTCTTATCGCTTGACTGTTATTGGAGGTTTTGATGTTTTGCGCCGGCGCATAAAACATATTTTACGGTCGCACCGACTCGTAATTCTGAAAGCGACGTTCGAACTTTTAAAGATATAAGTCCAGGTGATGTGCTAAAACTTAGAATGTTCGTTGTTCGACGTTCGTAGGATATTGTATTAGCAGATTGTCATGTATCTATTTGAATTGTAAATATCGTTTCTTCAAACAATATCTGCCGAGAATTCCGAATAAAAATTCTCCGTAGCGTAATTACTTATAAGTAACATTACGTCCGTCTACTAGCGAGAACTGCGATTAAAATGTAAAAGGTTATTATTAAAGCAAACAGATAATGCAGGAACTGGCGCTATTACATTAGTTACGTCAGACGTGGGATAAACGGAGGTTTATGGTCAGTGAATCATTAGGTCAATCCGTGTCGTTGACAATCAGATGTGTGTTAACTAAATACAGATTTACCGAGTCTAGATTTAAGCGTGAAAGGGAAACCTGTCATATTGTTGGGGTTTTATTTAGTATTTTTTTTAAAGTTTTTATCCTAACATCTAATTAATTAAAGTAGCTATAGTGGCCATGTTAACTCGTTTTTTATTACTGAAACTGATTCTAGAATGTTTTAAAGTCAAAATAGTTACTAGCACTATATTTATTAGTCCGTAACTCAATGATAAATGCCTAGCATGGAATTTAGCAGAAAAGGTTTATATCCCGTTAAAAAAAATTATTAAGTAGGACATATTTAAAGCACAAGACTAACTTCTTTTGTGTAAATAATTTTCATAAATGACGCAGACACAGAAATGTGTCTGTCCAGTTATCCACATCCGAGAAACAGGAACATAAACATATCACATTTATGAACATGTCTGGTTTGAAATAAATGTTTTATTACGTTACAATTGTATAGAATCCACCGCGACAATATTACGCATATCTACCTCTACCACGAAAATGTAATAGCTACCTCGTAACGTGACGTGAGTCTCCATGGGGAATACCCAATTGTTTATCGTTAACCGGAATATTATTTCGTTACAGATCTAAGTGCAACCGAAACCTCGGACGTTGACGAAATGGAATTTTTAATTGCAAAAAGATCAAATATGTAAACATTATGTAGTTAATCGATTGTCATCGATGCCTTCAAAAGAATTACTTTGAAACACCGGCGCGTTTGTTGAACATTCCCACACGAAGCGCTCGCTCAGCTTAACCGAACTCTTTCTTAATTTGTATTGTCAACTTCCAAAAACGACCGTTGATCGAACCGATGCATCTGTCTCAACAATAACAATACATTTTAACACGTAACTTTAATTGAAGTATTTTTGCAAACTACTTGCTATATTTTCATATCGGTTTAGATAATTTTAATTAGTATGTTGTAATATAGTTTTATATTCAATCATAGTAAACAAGAATGCAAGAATGGAAATCTAAGTTTGAGGAATATGTTAGTTTTACCTCATACCGGCGTTATGAAGGTACCAATATTTTCTATTACACGAAATTATTATGTAATTACAAGACAAACATGTTTAAACCAAATGCCGGTTATTTATTTCTACCCACTCGCACTATCAATGATAAAATGAATAACATCGCATTACGGTCAAGTTATTGCTAACACTGAAAGAGCTTTTCACACACCAGTTAAAAAGACATCCATGAACAACGCATTGATGGTGATCTCGTAGCCAAGACCATATTCATACAGAAGTTTTCCGATACGAGAAACGTTCGCGAAATCACAGGTCACTGGGAGCACAAGTCACAAGTGGGGCATTTTGCCACCAGGGTACACAGTGCGAGAGGTCGACAGTCGTGAATTGTCACCGCGGAGCTTGCGAGACCGGCGCGCGGGCAGTCGTCGCTCGTTGAATGAGCACCGAAATGCGGCACCGTACATGAAATAGCCACTCAAACTATGCGAAAACCCTTACGCCCGCCGGAAAGCGAACTCCGACCCTAACGGAGACATCCTTCGATATACGATTTTCGCCGCCCACGAAAATTCCGATTTTTGTCTACGATTTCATAACTCGAATGTTGAATCACAACACAATTACGTCATAATTCTATTACTCACTGTAACGTAAAGTAACTAGTGTTCAGGTAAAATCTTAGATAAGAACTAACTAGTACTTGATCGATTGACATATGTGCTGTGAAAATAGAAGAAATTTCGTATTTTCTAAAGACATAACTACTGCTGGATTAAATGAAAATGCTAAATGTTTTCGGAGACGCAAAGTATTATTAAGTAAATGTAATTTAGATAATATGTCATCTCCACGCCATTCGCTTTCTAAATCTTGTGCAAGTGTACAATTCGGTTAGACCTCGCCGCTGATTCATCGGTGAGTCTATCCTAAACTAACTTTTTATCGAATGTTACTCGCGGGCACGTGTGTGACATTTTTTTACAATCTAGTACAATATAGATTATGTCTACTTGTACGTAATGCGTACGTGTATTTACTTAACGTAATTATACTTCCGAATACGTTATTATACAAACAATTAGATACTAGTTTATAAAAAGCTATATTGATACCTAATCACTTATAAAACTTTTGTTAGAAAACTCAAAAAGAAAGAAGGATTTGTAAAAATATTTGTTATTACAAAGTTTTAATTTTGTAAAGCACTTATATTTTTTATTGTAATGCATTCGAGTGCTTATATACACGGAAATATTTCGTTAACAAACGCACATCAAATTATTGTATGTTGAACAAATATTTGGCAAAAGGTATGCACAATAAAAGTAACTTTCGTCTTTTTTATCTTGTCTGACTCGAACAGCAAACACGTTACAAAAGGACAAGGAACAAACGTGAACAAACTAACTTTAAAAAGAAAAAAAGTTCAGTGAAGTATGGGAAAGATAGTCGCACAGATCCTATGCAGCCGTGGCAATATCTGGTCTTGTAAATAATACAGAAATGCTCATAAAAGTTACAAATGCGAAGATATTTCTTGTTTGCCCTACTGTTACTTTTGTAATCTTAAGGGCGCATTACTTGCACGAAGTTTATAAGTTAAGATTTGAACGAGTCTGGTTTATTTACTTTGACACTTTTTTTGTCTCGCGGTTAAAAAGGTAGGTATTGTACTCCACTGTTTATTGGTACTGTAAATAGGGTATTATGGCTGTGATTAATAGCACGTCCCGAAAGTACTACTTTTACAAAACGGAAGGAATGTAGATTAGTAGGTTATGTAGGATTGGAATGTAGATTAGTATTAAAAAAATTAATGGTTTGAAACGTGAAATTTATACCTGCGTCCCCCCGTGACCACGACTGTTGCAAAGTATCCGTCAAGGGTCGTATGTAAAATAAGATTAACTAATACATTTAACACATTTTACAATCGTTAAAAATGATATAAAAGTGATATTCATGAGACATAAAGAATTAAAAACATTGAGGTGGTTTAGAAATTTTGTCAGGCTACTGATAAATATTTTTTACAATGCAGATGCAGGAGATACCGATCGTAATTCCATCTTGTGACATGATGACACAGCTTTCGTCAATTAGTAGTTTTTATGTGAAAATGAGTTTGTAATTAGCTTAAGTAGAGGCTTTCCGGTCGGCGATTGTGTTCCGAGCGTTTACTCAAACGAATCGTCAGGTTTTTACGTTGCGCTGTGACGTGAATATAAAATGCTATCTGTTGAAAGTAATCATGCTTAATTGTTGACTAAGGGAATCTTTTGATTGGCGATGGATGGAGATTGAATACTGACGACAGAACAGCGCTTGAGAATCCTTCGTGTTGTGTAGGAATTATGGGGTAATTATATTGGAACAATGACCTTCTTACGTGACAGATTGAGTGTATTTTATCATCGGGGAAGCGGGTTGTCAAAAGGTACGGAGCATTTATCATTTGAAATATAGAAGGCATAAGAATGTTTTCCTCAATCCAATTAGAAAAGGTTGTGTCAGCGATGAGTCACGCATTTCCCAAATTTTCCCGAAAACCGCGCCACGATGAAAAACGTCTGAAAGCCCACAAGAGCGGTGTCGAGTCTCAGATGGGTCATTCCTTTGTATTACTCATCCTTTGCTTATGCCATTCGAATATTTAATAATTTCAATTTGCCTAGTAATTCGGTTAATATGCAAAGACAATATAGGTCGATAGCACATCTTGTGATATATAGCTGGGGTATTTCAGTACCATTATGTGGACCCTATTCTTGTCTGTTCCATTTTATTATAAAAAAAAACCGGTAACAGAATAAATAAGGAAGATGGACGCGGACAACGAAAGTTACAACAAACAAACTAGGCAAAGTTTATTAGGTTACGTTTAGTGGGTATTGTTTAAAACAAAACATAGTTTCAGTTAATTTAGTTTTACCGTAAAGTAAACGCGGCTTCCGCGCCCGCCTCGACAACAAAATAGCATTTCTGCCGCAATATAAATCAAAGTTGAGCTCTACGCAGTATTGTAAAGCTCCATCAGTTAGTTGTTAATGCCACGGAGTGGGAAAGTGTCAAAAAAATTACACCTGAAAATATCGCTTTCGCGCGTATTTTAACGGCCTTTAAATCATTTCTATTTTGTAGCTGTTCCGTGGAAAGGTTTCATAACTTTTTGCCTTTATGTATTTTAAAATATGCTACATCACATAATAAAATTAATATTTATTCACATATGTAGGTATATATTCTGTATTTGCATAAAATTAATAAGATCTAATAGTCATATAAGTAATAAGGAAAAATAATTTTCCTTTATAGTTAATTTGTTTTCAGCAATATCTTTAAAAATTTAGGTAGTATGAATATATAAAAAAATATTTATTTATTAAATAAAATTTTTGATCAATTTTAATAATTTTAATGTTAACTCTTCTTGAAACAGTGTTTAAATACAGATATCTACGAGAGTTTTATGATAACTACATACCATCAATTTCTGTCCTAGGTGCTTTCCTCAACGAGCATCCAATGCACAATGCACAGTTTTCAATCATCTTTGATGTTACAATTATATCACAGTTTATAAATATTCTTTGGTACAGTGGCACAGATTAATCTGTATCCAATATCACTGGCACATAACTATTTAGCACTTTATTTTATTGGAGCGTCTACGTGATTTTTGGTCGGCCTTAGCGCGGTTACGCTCAGTTCGCCGCGTTACGTGTAATGTATGTCCTGAACGGATTTCCACGGCTTTTATGTAGTTGGTCGGCGCTCCTGTGATAAAGGGTGCAAAAAACAGATTGTTTGCAGAGGGCCCGCCATGACGTCATAGATACGACGTCGCGCGCGATCTAAACGTAAACGGGCGCCAGCGATTACGTAAAACGCTTGTTCAAATAAATTGAACCATGTGTTCCCTAAACTAACCGGATCCTAGATAGGTGTGCGAAAATTAAAATCGGGAGTGTTTAGTTGCTGAGCTACGAGTTTTGACATATATTCATCCGTAAAATATAAAAATATCATTAACACGTTAATTAATTTCATATTATATTACTTAGGGGTTACCAACGTTAGGTCTGCATTTTAAAGAAATCGTCGACCCGTGAAATACAGTTGTTCTTAAAAAAGATAAGACAGATTCAACTGAAACATTTACAGTAGTCATAGCTTAGGTCCTTTAAATAAAAGATTTTATTTTTTGCAAACATTCAAAATTAATTTTAGATTAAAAAATTTGATACTTTAATTTTACATGTGTATGTAATATTTAAAAATAATAAAAATGTCCCACATCTCTTTGTTTATTTATTGTATTATTCTAAATTTTGTATGAAATAACAAGAGATTATGTAACTAAATTAAGGTCCTTAGGGCTGAGTTGCTAATATAAAATAAGTATAATTCATAGAATACTCATTCTTAATCATAGCGTAGTAAAGCATAGAATGGGGTTTTAAATTTAAACGCGGATATAATACACGTTCGAAAAACTAAACAAAATTTCAATATAATCGATACAATATTAGACGTACTCCAGATTCAGTACTCACTATATATAGGTAGTTGTATAGTATGTTATATCAAGGCTAACAAATTATATCCCAGTGCCCATATCCTATATCTTTTTCACTGTATGTGCGTCTCCCTCACACTTCATACCTACTACCCAAACTATATTACCCGACGCTCAAAGTAAGATGAAACGTAAACCACAGATTAAAAATAGAATTTAGGCGGGAAGGAGTGCAAAGATATACTCTATGGTTTCACTCTCTAATGGTGACAGGCTGATCAAAGTGATCAATATAGTGGCCACAGACTAGTAATGTTAAAAAGACTTCAATTTGACAAGCGTGTAGTGAAATCCATTTGTAATTTCAGTGGGGTGTTGCTTGCTCTATCATCCCGCCTCCGTGAGAGTTCCGCCTCTCGATTTAAATCCCAAAATAGTCCTGCTTGATTGGTCGCTGTGTGTGATCTCTTCGCCTATTACGTACCAACTTATGTACCTACCATCTTTAGATTAAACGATTTCCAGCATTTTTAATGTTTAACATGACGATAATTCTTAAAAAAATCTCGATTTGCCTAATATTTTATTTTGAATGCCAGGCACAAAACTGTTTAATTTTGTGTATTTGTTTTAGGTTAATGGAATGCTAATTGTAAAGATTACATTTCTACGACAATTTCCTCACGCCAATATTTCCTTGTAAACACGAAGTGTAGAATTATCGGAATATTATTAATTAATTCATGATTCGGATAACGTAGCTAAATTTAATAATTATTTAATAAGATTGCATACAGTACTAACTATATTTAGATGAACTCTTTTTTCTGTTTAAAAAGTTGAGAGGTCAAATCCGAAATTTCCTAAATAAGTGAGTAATATAGTGAAGAATTATTGTTTATATAATTATATTTGTGCTTTAGTATCCTTATTAAAAGTAATATAATATTGAGAATCTGGTATGATAACTAGCAGAGCACAGAGATAAATTACAGAATTATTGACCATTATGCAATAAACACTATATATACAAATCAACACCTAGCATTACATTAAAATTGAATCCTATATACAAAATAGCGTTATGTATAGCATTACATATCTATAAAAACAAACACCTGACATATTTGTAACAAAAAATCGTAGAAAGCTTAAGATCAAAAATTTGTAAAGAACGTGACCCCGTAAAGTAACATAGTGACATAGACTCAGTATTTCCACTTGGTTTCCAACGTAATAATTATTACGTGTCAGTAGTCAATACCCTATTAATAGAAACAAAAGAGGCAATTATAGCATTATGGAGCTTCCATTACAACGTAATGTAATTGTTGTTTGATGGTGAGGTCTTAAAAAAAAAAAACCAAAAGCATAACATAACTCCACAGATGAAAAATCCGTGCAGTTTAATTGCGTTTTAGTTTCCGAATTTCCGAATTTCCGAATATCTAAAATCAAAATAGGTTGACAGCGCAGCTTGCTAAGATGTTTTATAACTAGGGTATTTGACCTCCATCAAGTGGACTCCATCCTTGTCTGTCTTTTTTTAACATAAAGTAACAATAACCCTCGTGTCTCCCCGTGACCACGGCTGCTGCAAAGCATCCGAAACGTCGGGCCGAAGTTAAAAATAATTTTCAAAAAAGTTTAACTAAAATATCGCGTTTTAAACCGTTAAAGTGTTTCATTTAAACAATAACCCGTATAGAATTGTGAAAGGATGGCTTTAACACATATCTGAAAATTTCTATATATCGTTGTCTAATTTAGTGGATTATAATTATAAAACCGTGTTTTTTCTTTTAGGAGATGATTTATTTAGTTTGTGGTAAAAATGCAAAAACAAATTTTAAAGAGGAAATTTTCTATTAAGCCAGATTTTTTTTTAATTTTCATGAAATACGAGTGACAACGTAGCTTCATTAGCATACTCGCGATTCAATTTATAAGAAATATGTTTTATAACAGGATATTCAATACAATACAATTACAATAAAACTTTGTTACAGGCCGTTCTAAGAACAGCCATAATAGTCTGAGATATTACGATAGAATAAAAAGTGGGATTTAGAAAAGTCAGATAACAATGGTACTTGATAAAATCCTAAGGTCATCGAAATACCGTAAACTAGGATTCAGAGAATCTGAAAGGATGGCCCCACGAAAAACCCGCTGAAGCACACTCATTGTGTATGCAAATCCTCCATTCTATTACAATGCTGTCATATCCGATATTACGTGTTGCGTTTCCCATGTTTAAATTGACCTAACTTTTTATTCCAAATTAATATCTTATATCTATATGTAACTATAAATTTTTGTCTAGTTAAATACGTTTCTTAATTATCGAAGAAGTTTTAAAAGTATAAGAAATTTTCAAAAGTTAAATAACTTGCTATAGACTAATAATAAAAATCGTTGTAACCTTAAATTTTGATGTTATGTGTGTAGCAATAAAAAATATTTCGAGTATTACTTTACAATGCAAATGTGTATATATTATATACAACATTTTAATATTTTAATCTAAGTAGTGCACTAATAGAGATATTCGACCTAATTTAAACAGTAGCGCTCATTTATGGCCAATTGATTAAAAATAACCGTTTTTACGACTTCTCTAATTTAAAGTCCGCGAGATAGTCTCTAAAAATGGAAGTTCAGTAATCTATAAGTAAGGTTTTCCTTTTCGGTTGCTGATACTGTTTAATTAAAATAAGCATAACTGTTACATATTGACTATGCGAAAGTTTATTTCTCTTTTATTATATTTTTTATGATAGAGGAGGACATTTATACAAGATGCACTGTTGCTTGTGTTAGTTGAGTATAGGTTTACTTTTTAAATAATTATATTTCTCACTTACGTTTTTTATTACATATGTAAAATATCGTACATCGTTACACCGTTTACTTATATATTACTTAATTAAGAAATAAACATATTATTTTATAAACTGTGTCTGTTGTGGGTCGTTTGTCAAAATATGCCCTTATTTTATTAATTTTCGTGAGAGCATGTATCTAACTCACATATGATTGGCTTATGATTTATGAAAATTCCTTTGATGACTAACCTCAAATCAGACCTTAGAAGTTCTGAGAACAATATGAAACACAGGTATGAGATTTGAGAGGAAATACCAGCGCATTCTTTCTTTTGATTATAATAAGAATAAAATGTGACCCCGAAATTCAGTTACGAAATTCTTTTACTATGATTTGTGACATGGAAATTAGATTTTTGACAGTTCATTGGTGGATTGGTACCCATGGAGGTATGGCTAATAATCAACAGGTCATAACTTCGAATCTCACCGGGTTGGAAAGTCTTCATATAACATGGGTGGTACAGTTATCAAAACACCTCATGCTTGTAATTTGCTTTAATTCAATACAATATATTTTATTTATTTTTCAATAAGCTCAAGTAGCAAATTGAAATAAATGAATATACAACTACGTAGAAAAGTACGCGTTAATTTCCTTGACTTCGAATGCTTGATAACTAATAAACCGGAACTATTAAAATAGGACGAGTTATAAAAATTATGGTGAAACAGTCTCATGAGATTGAGAGAAACAATACGCAAACAAAGAGTAATTTGAATATAAAAATGCAGGACAATTATTCAAATCTTGTTCCTGAGGAATTGTTTAATCACGATACGAACATTCATTAAGTACCGGAAAAACTGGAAAGTTTTCCGTACACTATTTTTTCTAAGTGAATGCTATTCAAATGCGCAGCGTTACAAGGCTCTCACGCGTTCCTTTGTTAATAATGTCATTAGTATAATGTGATAGGACCAATTAAATTCATATATAATATATATTGTTTCTGTCTGTGTAAATTCGCGTTCATATTAACAAATGAAAGTCTCGTTTTGGAATATATCTATGTTTCTGACGTTTGTGCGCTTAACCAAACGCAATCTTATAAGATTAGCGTAGATTAATGATAAACTTAACTATACTTGTGTTTAACCACCTCTGTAGATAAATGGTTAAACGTCTGGCTTAGCATTGGGT